CAGCAGCAGCAGCAGCAGCAGCAGCAGCAGCAGCAGCAGCAGCAGCAGCAGCAGCAGCAGCAGCAGCAGCAGCAGCAGCAGCAGCACGCACTATGTTGGGGTGGTAAATCTTGGTGAGGAAGCGGACTTTGGGGGGCTCCATGGGGTACTGCTCGGGCAAAAACAATTCGAGGCGGTAGCGGCCGCCTGGCCGTCAGCAAAGACAGAAGTGAAATAAAAAAATGGCAAAGACAAAAACACTTTTTCAAACGCATGCAAGGCAATTTGGCGAGACTTTTTGGCCCCTTTGACCCTCCCTGCTGCTGCTGCTGCTTCTGCCATTAGTATTAAAGTAATTTGATTGTTGGAATTATTTAAAATGCCATTAATGGCATTAATGGCCCCACACGCACCCTCGTAGGGAGTCCCTGCAGGCCCAGTCATTATGATTTTGAAGTAGCGGTAGTTGGAGGGGTCTGGGGCGGCCTCGATTCCTGGGGCTGCATGCAAAGACAAGCAGCAGCAGCAGCAGCAGCAGCAAGGGTTTGCTGCAGGTGCTGCGGAGCCGGCTGCAGCGCTCCCGCTGCGCTGCCGGGGCGGGCGCGCTGCCCCGCGCTGCTGCTGCGGCCGCCCGCCCGCTGCAGCAACTGCAGCAGCAGCAGCAGCAGCAGCAGCAGCACGGGCTGCAGCACGCCGAGCCGCTGCGCTGCAGCGCTGTCTCCGCGTCTTCTAAGAAACTGCACAGCCTGCTGCTAGCTGGCGAGGCGCTGCTGCTGCTGCAGACGCAGCAGCAGCGCAGCAAAGCGGGGCTTACGGGGCTCGCTGGCCAGGTTGTGTGTTTCCTTTTGAATGCGCTTGGGCACCAGCATCATGCTGCGGCGCTGCCGTGGCCAGGCAGGGCGGAAGAAACGCAACAACTGGAAAATATAAACTAAAAAAGCAAAACTAAAAAGAGTTTCTGCAAAAAGAAGCAGCAGCAGCAATGTGTGGCGTCGCGGGAGCCGCAGTTCGCAGAAGAACGGAGGCCGAGGCGCAGCGGGCGCGGGGCTCTGGGACTTCGCCGCCACCCACTCAATTCCAAATTCTCCTCTTCGTCACTATTTCACAAATTGTCCAGACTCGCAAAAAAGAAAAACTCCATTTGCGCAACTCCACCCCAACCCCTGCCAGCCCCTCAACCACGCGGCCGCATGCTCAGGGTGCGCCGAGTTCAGGTGTACGTACACCGCAAACTCGCCGACAAAAACAATTCAGTTCGAACGAAATTAACTTCTTATTATTTTTTATTCAGCCTCTGCAGCCCCTCGACTGGGACTCGGGCCTACAACAACGGCCCTGCCTGCTGCTGTGCACGGGGGGCTTCTGTCTTTGGCGGTAAGCTATGAATGGCTCCACAGCAACGAAGTAATTCCACTTCCATTTGCGGCTAATTGCTAATCCCAGGCGCTCTTGCTGCTTCCAGCAATGAACTGCAGCCCAAGGGACCCTGGGGGCCAGCCTCAACTCGGGGGCCAATGTAGTTGAATTGCGAAGCAATTTAAAGCAAAAAGGCCCCGAGAAAGCCACAAAGAAAAACAAATTATGATTAGACTCACAGGCAACGCACACTGCTGCGCGTGAGGTGCCAACAGGTGCCCCAGAACGGGGTGTACATACACTCCGTGGCTCCGAAAGGACTACTCACCAAATGCACAAACGACAATTCCTTCCCACAAATATAAATCTTTACTTCTCGCTGCGGCGCTCTGTGGCTCTTGTGCTGGACTTGTAATATAATTGTAGACTGCACTTGTCTTGCTACGAAATACACAAAAGTAGTTCTGTGGAAACGTGAACTGTTACTGTTGCTAACCACGTGTGTATACATGTGTACAAAATATATATATTGCACATATATATACATACATTATATATACACATAAATATATATATACACATAAATATATATATATATATTATTTGGCTGTTGTCCACCTAGGGAAATGGCTGTAGAAGAGCACCTGCGCAGTGAACTGTTTGGCCGTGTTGGGTGGGGGCCCCTGTGGGGCCCCCCCCCACCCTTTGGCGCTGCAGGCCATTTGGTCTCAGTGCTATTTTAACTTATTTTAACTTCTAGAAAGAAGAAAAGCCCCGAAGACAGTCACTGGCCTCTCAGTTTTATTTCAAGTCAACGGACGCTGCGTTGGGCTGTCTTTGTCGGGCTGTAAATTGTAGTTGCCGCCGCTCCCAGCTGTCTGTACACCTGGAGGCCCCTGGGGGCCCCCAGGGGGCCCCCAGGGGGCCCCCCGGGGGCCCCCCAGGGGGCCCCCCAGCAGCCCCTAGGGAACTTGGGGCCCTCTAGAGTGGACAGCAGCATTAAATGGGGAAAACTGAGGCCCCGAGGGCCTCGGGTGTCTGTATAGACACTGTAAATCTGTGCCAAGTGGATGTACACCGCGGGCCTTCTGTCTCTCGAGTGTAGAGACAGAAGGAAAGACAAAAAGGCAACGGGAGGCAAAAGAAATGCCACTTTCTGGAGACTGCGCAGCCCAGAAAGCGGGGCCCCGGGCACGCGCTGCGAGCTGCTGCAGCGCAGCAGGCGTGCAGCAGCTGCTGCAGCAGCTGCTGCAGCAGAGCCCAGCGCGAGCGGCCCCAGCGAAAGCCTTTGCTGCAGGCCTACCTGGTGCTGACCTTGGGCGAGTTGAGCCCCAGCTTGGGACTTTCTCCGGGCAAAATGAAAATGCAAATGAGAGAAAGCAAAGCCGTGAGGAAGGCGAAGGCGCTGCAGATGATGCCGACGCCGCCTGCGTAGCCAATGTTGCCGAAGAGCCCCAGCGCGAAGTTCCAAATGAAGTAGTGGATGTAAGTCTTGCACATCCAAGTCAAGTCGAACTTCTGAAAGTGACACAAAATCGACACGAAGCCCATCACGAAGGGCGTCCAGATGTCGAAGAAGACGGAGGGGGTGAACGTGAACAGCGCCAGCCGCCAGAACACCTTATTTATGTCGTTCAGCGCGTCTTCCGAGTCCAACTTGATCTTCGGGTCCCGCGCACTCAGCAAAAAACACCAGACTATTATAGTGAAGGCCCCGGTGATCACGCCGAGCCAGCCGGTGACCTTCCCCAGCACCTGCTTGCCGTCCGCCATTCTCGAAACCTGCAAACACCTCGAGACGAACGGAAAGCGAGTTGAAACTGAGGGAAAGCTCGGGCCCCAAGGCCCCAAAACCGGCAGAAAATGCGCAAAAAGTCGCCTTTTAACCTCCGCGACTTCGAGAAATGCGCAGAAAGAGGCTTTTCGTTCAAAGTTCGAGCCGAAACTGCAAAGATTGCAGCGCGAGCTGCGCAGCACGCCACGCAGCGGCCGTGTGCGTGGCCGCTGCACTGATGCCTCCACAAGTACAGACGTGTCTAGAGTTTTAAAAGTGCAGTCAAACGTTTTAAAGTGCAAAAGAAGGAAATGCTCGGCAAAGAATCGAAAGTTCGGAGAAACGGCCTCGAGAGCGCAGCGGCAGTGCACCGCAGACGGCCGCGTCGACACCTGAGGCGGCTCACTTGTCTTAATCGCAAAGTCCAGGGCTACAGATCTTCAGCCACTTTAAATTCAATTTGACAATATTTATAAACGAGATCGCAGGCTAAACGCGGGGCGCCGCTGCTGCTGGCCGCTTGCTGCTGCTGCGCTGCTGCTGGCTGGTGGCTGCTGCCGGTCAGCCACCGACTGCATCGGGGCCTGCGGACTTCTCCTTCGAATTCAACTTCGAGTTCTTCTTTTTCAAAAGCTTTTGCAAAAACAAAACGCCAACTTATTTCACTTCAGACGGAAAAGCAGCGGCCAAGTTTTGGCCGCGAGGCTGCAGCTTTCCAGCTGCGGCGCCCGCGGAAAGCACGGTGGACCACGGCGAGCCGCGCAGCAGCCACGCGAAACCCTTTGCGGAAAACTGAAGTTAATTCAATTCAAATTCATTTAATTCAAATTCATTTCATTTATTTCACAAACTTCCGCAAGTTTTTCTTTTAATTCAATTCTTTCAATTCGTTTCCACCCAAACCCCCGCGCGCGCCCGCGCCGCTGCGCCCTGGCCTTCGCCGCTGTGCTCATTTGCCCTTTTAATTCTACCAGTTTGCTGCTGTTTGCAGCAGAAAGTTTAATTTAATTCAATTTAATTCAATTTAATTCAATTTAATTCGATTTAATTCAATTTAATTTGACTTCATTTAATCAATTTGCTGCTGCGAACGAGGCCCCGCGTCCGGGCCAGCCGCAGGCCCTGCGAAGCTCAGTTCAGTTAGAAATAAAGAAAAGGGGGTTTTAATTCTCTCAATTAAATTAAATTAAATTAAAACTTCAAGAATGAGTGCATGCAAACATTTTAAAAGGAAAGAAGAATTAAAAAAATAATAATAATGCAAACCCTTCACTTTCAATTCAACTTGTGTGTGCAGAAAGCTCCAGCTTAAGAGTTCAAATTGTTTTTATTTTCATTTTTTTAATTCAAACTTTTGCAATTTAATTCTTTTTCAAATCAAATTAAAAGCCCTCCGAGGTGCACTGGGAGGCCTTTTAATTAACGAATTCTTTCGAGCTTTTCAGTTTGAAGTTGCAGAAAAAGAAATAAATAAAAAATAAATAAAAATAATTTCAAAAATCTTCTAATGGACTTTATTCTGAATCTGAAGAGGAAGAAGTCTCGGCCTCGGAGGAGGCGAAGGCGGCGGTGAAGTTTGTCGTTGGCTGCGAGACGAAAAATAAAACGGAGACAGAAATGAATTAATTAATTGGAATTAATTGAAATTAAATTCAAACTTTTTATTAATTCAAATTAAATCCAATTCAAATTACATTTAGTGTTGCAAGACGGAAACTCTTCCGCACTTCCACCTGCGCCGCCGCGCCCATTTTCCCCACAGGGCGTTTTTTTTTCAAGTTTTTACTTTTCTTATTTTTGCCAGTTTTCGAAAAGGAACTTAAAGAAGAAAAAGACAACTTTTCTGTCTTTTTGCTTTTGTTCTCCGGCTTCCACAGTCCCAGTTCGCCCTCTGCGTCACTTGCTGCTGCTGCTGCTGCTGCTGCTGCTGCTGCTGCAGCACCCTTGCTTCTGCGTGTACTATTAGCTTTTTTTTATTTAAAAAGTTCAAAAGAACACTCACGAGGGGGAATTGAGGGGGCGGCCGCGCTGCTCTCCGTTGACTGCGAGCTGGAAGTGGGAAGGTGGAAAGAAATAAGACGAAGTGGAAAGAATCGGAAAAGTGGAAAGAATACTTTTAATTGAAAAGTGGAAATAATACTTTTAATTGAATTGGAAAATTAGCTGCAGCAAAGATGCAGCCTCACTTCGCCGGCCTTATAACGAACCCAAACTGCGAAGTGCCGCTTTTCCCACGCGACAGTTTCCTGCAGACGAGCCCGAACAGCGGATGGGTGGAATATTCTTCTTGAGCAGAAATTTAGGATTTATTTTGAATAAAAAATCATTTTAAATGTTTAAAATATTCATAAGTGCACTTTAATTGCGCAGAAACTCCGAATTCACCTTCTTCCACTGCACTTTCGAGTCCTTCGACGCCGCCGAGTGGCACGGAAGCGAAGCTTCTGAGCGACGGCGGAGCCTTTTTTGCCAACTGCGCCAAGCCAGCGCTTGCAAAGTGGGTTTTGTGTCTCCCATTTTGAAAAGAATTAAAAGTTTGGAGTCGGCGAGTTAGAAAGAAGTGAATCGTCTCGTGGCCAGCGGCTGCGCGGTAGGGTTGCTGGGGTGTACGGACAGCTGCGCATGGTCAACAAACTGACTTTCTACTCAACCCGCGCCTTCTCATTATTTGATGTTTAATTTCTAGAATAATATAATTCAGATAAAGCTAACAGAATAAGTTTTGGGTGCGACTAAAGTTCCAGTTTTGCTGCCTCATCTCTCTCTTGCTCAAAACCTGTCTTGCTGCGGCACCATCCAGATCTGAATCTGAATGCCCTCAACAGCGGCAACAGTGTGCATGCAGCAATTAAAACAAATCGCAGAATAATAAATAGTTAGAGTTGCTGCAACAACTCACACTTTGGGGCCACAGAAACAGCAGCAGCAGCAGCAGCAGGACCAGTTTGCCTTCCTGCTGGTGTTTAAAACGGCAGGAAAAGCGTGGCATGCATTAAATGCATGCATTGTGCCCGAACAGCGTAGAAGAATTGAAGTAATAAAAAAACAATAAAAGCTTGCGTAAGAGAATTAAAATAATAAACTGATTAAAATAAATAAAAAACAGCAAAAGTTTGAAACTTTTATAAAACTTTGTTCGCGTGAAAGTGCCGGAGGCCCAGGTGTATCTGCAGCTCGAACTGCTGCTGCCAGGGCGCCCCAGACTGAAGTTTCATTTTAATTGTTTTGCGTCTTCTACTTGTTCAATTGCTCTTAATTGTTTTGTAATTTAATTATTTGTTCTTTATTGTTTTGTTATTTATTATTTATTATTTTTTATTTATTCGGGGCCTTGTTACACTCCGAGCTCCGTTCCGCGAGTCTCTGAATGCAGAGACAAAACAGCAAGCAGGTCGCTGCTGCTTCTGCTGCTGCTTCTGCCAGCAGCAGCCGCTGCTGCTACTCCGGCAGCAGCAGCTGCTGCTGCTGCTGCAGCTGCTGCTGCAGCAGGCTGCTGCTGCAGCAGGCTGCTGCTGCATGTTTAAAAAGCAAACCAACTCAACGCACTAAGAAGAAGGCGGAGAGCGTCGCTGCGCCTGCTCTGCTGCGTCAAGCGCAGACTGAAGTCCAGGAATGCTGCAGAAACAAACAGCAGCAGCAGCAGCAGCAGCAGTCACAGCAGCAGCAGCAGCAGCAGTCACAGCAGCAGCAGTTACAGCAGCAGCAGCAACTAAGAGCCTCAGTGAAGAAAGAATTAAAATAAAACAAAAAGAGGGTTTTGTGGCAGCAGCGAAATAAAAAAAAATAAACACAAAGACAGCTCAAGTTCTGGCTGGGCAAAAGCTGCAGCAATGAAGAGAGAAAAAAGAAACAAATAAATGGATTAAAAGATGAACTGTCACAAAAGTCCCAGCAACAAAGAAAAGAGAAAGAAATGAATTAAAAATGAATTGCCAGAGCTGCAGCTCACCCAATGGTTCTAACGCGGTGTCTGTACACCTCGTAGTCCTCGCCAAACATTTTCACCAGTTGCTTCTCTTCGAAAAAAATTCTTTCCCGAAAGAAAATAAAAGAAACGAAGAAGAACAAACAGCAACACACCACGTTGAGCAGCAGCACCTGGGAGCCTGCAGCAGCAGCAGCAGCAGCAGCAGCAAGAGCAGCAGCAGCAGCAGCAAATAAACTAATAACCCCGCCGCGAAGCCACCGGCCAGCAGCCACTGCGAGCGCAGCGCCGCCGCCTTCTGCTGCTGCTGCTGCTGCTGCTGCTGCTGCTGCTGACTGAATTCTTTCAGTTGAAATAAAACAAATAATGAAATATTTTAAAAACAGTTCACAAAAAGTAAATGAATTACTTCAAATGAAATCAAAAGAAGAGAAACAAAAAGCAGAAATAAAACACCCGAGGGAACTGCAGCAAAGTGTGCAGCCGAACCCCCAGGCAGCCGGGGTCGAAACGAGGGCCAAAGGAGCCCAAAAGAGCGCAAAAAGAAAATAAAAAAACAAAAATAAATAAAAAATAAAAAATAAAATAAAATAATGCAAAAATAAAACAAAAAGCAGCAAAATCGTCGCAGATCGCTCACCAACGGCCCACCAAAACCACCCCGCGTAGGCCGGGTGGCGGCAGTGTCTGTACACCCCAGCCACGCACAGCCGGTGGCCCTGCTGCTTCTGCATGCGAATTTTGTGAGTGAAGTTTTGCTTCAAAGTTAAGAAGCCCAGAGCCCGCAGCAGCAGCCCCAGCAGCGCAGCAGCAAAGCCAGCAGCAGCCACTGCGCACAGCAGCCACAGGGCCCAGAGCTGCCAGTGCAGGCCCGAGCGCGGGTCCGCTGCGAGGTCTGCTGCTGCTGCTGCTGCTGCTGCTGCTGCAGCGGGAGAGCCCGCGGCCCCCGACTCCTGCGCCTGCAGGATTTGCTGCTGCGGCTGCTGCAGCAGCAAATCCAAGTCGCTCGCGAGCAGCGGCCGCTGCAGCAGCGCGTGCCACGCGAAAGTGTGGAGCTGCAGCAGCAGCTGCGGGAGGTGCACCTGCTGGTGCAGCAGCAGCTGCAGCAGCAGCAGCGCGTTGCTGCTGTTCAGCACTGCAGCAGCAACGGAAGGCTTCAGCTGCTGCTCCAGCAACGCCAGCAGCAGCACTGCTGCATACACTGGACTGTTGTTTATAAGAAAAGAATCGAAGCTCAAATCTTGGGGGTGAAAAGCAGCAACAAAAAGGTATTCAGAGTAGTGGTGCAGCAGCAGCAGCAAAATGAACAAACCTTCTGCTGCTGCTGCGCACGACACCCGGCACTGCAGCAGCAGCAGCGGGAAAAACAAAAAGCAGCAACCCCCCACAAACAATGCCACGCACTGGTACCCCATGTCCGCCGCTAACGACCTCTTGCTGCTGCTGCTGCTGCTGCTGCTGCTGCTGCTGCTGCTGCTGCTGCTGCTGCTGCTGCTTGGCTGCTTCCGCACTAGAACGCCAGCAAACATGATGAGCCAAAATCCCCGGGACACATTCTGCCGGATGAGGTATCCTTCGCCCTGCTGCTGCTCCTGGCCTGGCAGCTGCTGCAGCAGAAGCTGCTGCTGCTGCTGCTGCTGCTCCAGCAGCAGCAGCAGCAAACCACAAAGAGCCCCAGCAACAAATGACCCCAGTCGAACCATCTGCAGGCGACGGCGGCTGCCTTTCACCAGGTCCAGCTCGTGGCTGCTGCTGCCGTCGCCGTCCTTGCAGCAGCAGGAGCTGCTGCTGCTGCTGCTGCTGCTGCTGCTGCTGCTGCTGCTGCTACTGCTTGTGCTGCAGTCAAGGTGCCGCCTGCAAGCAGCTACTGCAAGGGGGTCGCGAATTGCTGCGGAGTCAGCAGCTCCCACTGATGCGCTAGCAGCTGTTGCTGCTGCTGCTGCTGCAGTTGCTGTCCGTTGCACTGCTGCTCTTGCTGCTGCTGTCATTTCCGTGCTGTCTGCTGCTGCTGCTGCTGCTGCTGCTTCTCTTGGCCACTGTGCCAGAAGAAAGGGGCAAACAGCAGCAGCCTCTGCAGCAGCAGCTGCTTCCCTTAGTTGCTGCTCTGTCGGCCGCACTTCGCGCAGCAGCAGCGGCGGCGGAGGAGGGGGAGGGGTCCGACGCAGGCGGACTGCAGCAGCAGCAGCAGCAGCAGCAGCAGCAGCAGCTCCTGCTGCTGCCCCAGATGCTCCTGGTGCTTGCATTTCAAAATAAAGTTCCCTGCCCACGTGTACAGCTGGCGCTGCAGCTGACTGGCTCTTCATCAGCCTTTAAGAAAGCGTTATTTCTGGCCACATGGCAGACGGCGCTGCTGCTGCTGCTGCTGCTGCTGCTGCTGCTGCTGCTGCTGCTTCGCCGTCGTGGGTGGTGCTTCCGGTGGCTACGTTGCTGCTGTTGCTGCAGCTGCTGCTGCTCAGTTTTTGAGCCTTTCAGGTGGTGGTGGTGCTGTTGGGCTGCCAACTTGCGGCGGCGCTGTTTGCTGCAGCAGGAGCTCCTTTGCAGTCAACAGCAACAGCAGCAGCAGCAGCAGCAGCAGCCGCAGCAGCCGCTGCTGCTGCTTCGCAGGCGCAGCAGCACCGGCAATAACCTTAAAAGCAAGAAAATGAGTCAAAGCCAAACGCGGAGCCGCGATAAAAAGCTGTTGCCGAAGGTCGCGGTGTCTGCGGCGCTGCTGCCGCAGCTGCTGCTGCTGCTGCTGCTGCTGCTGCTCTGCGCCGAAGCAAATGGAAGCCGTATCTGCTTCCCTTTTCAATTAATTGCATGCATAATGCAGTTTGTGTGGCTCTGAGGTGTACGCACACCCCAGTTGCTGCGAAGATGGCTGGCAAGGCCGCGCAGCACACTGCAGCAGAAGCACCTGCGGTCCTGCTGCTTAGCAGCAAATTGAAGGTGGACAAAGTCAAGGAAAACAGATTCAATTAAAATGGTAATTTCAAGAAGCAGCAAACAGACGAAGAGGAACATCTGCGAGACGGACTCGCTGCTGCTGCTGCAGCCAGCTTTGCGCATGCAGCAGCAGCACGAGCTGCAGCAACGGAAGCTGCAGCAGCAGCAGCAGCGCCAGCAGCAGCAGCTCTCGTGCTGGCCCACGAATCCTTTGCTGCTCATTTGACGCCTCGTGTTTGTTCAGGGCAGCTGCAGCAACAGCCGCTGCAGCAGCCCTGCGGAGGGCCCTTGTGCCAGCCCCCAAGGCAGCAGCAGCAGCAGCAGCAGCAGCCATAGCTGCGAGAAACACTCGCACAAGCCACAGCAGCAGCAGCAGCAGCAGGGGCGACAGGAACAATATGGAGGAGGCTGCGGGCAGCAGCATCAGCCATGCTGCTGCTGCTAGGGGCCCTTCACCCCACGTGTTTGATGCTGCTGCAGGAGCAGCAGCAGCAACAGCAGCAGCAGAGTCCCCAGCAGCAGAAGCGGCGCATTTCTTTCGCCTAGTAGCCGAGGCGCAGCGCCGGGTTGAGCTGGCAGCAGCAGCAGCAGCGGCAGATTCGCTGCAGTGTCTTTCTGCGGGAGTCCAGCAGCAGCAGCAGCAGCCCCTCCAGCTGCAGCAGCAGCAGCAGCTGCTGCCGCAGCAGGTGGAGGCTACAGCGCGCAAAGACGTAGACCGCGTGCTGCAGTGGCACCGAGCAGCAGCAGCAGCAGCTGCTGCTGCTGCGTTGCCGCGAGAGCAGCAGCTGCAGGAGAATCAGCAGCCACAAGACGCTAATGAAGCAGCAGATGCGTTTGCTGCTGCTGCTGCTGCTGCAACAGCAGGGGCTCCTTTAAATATAGTAGATGTGTGGCAGCAAACGCCTCTTTTCCCGGTGTACGTACACCTCAAGACGCTGCAGCGCGGCTTTCTGCCTGCTGCTCTTGTTGCTGCGCTGCAGCAGCAGCCAGCAGCAATTGGAGTGCAGATGCTGCCGCAGCTGCAGCAGGTGTGTCTCTTCCAGGGCAACACGGCTTATTTGCTGCCACTAGCAGCAGCAGGAGCAGCAGCAGAAGCAGCAGAGCCTTCGGTGCTGCGCTTCACAGCAGATGCTGCCATTGTTGCTGCTTGCTGCTGCTGCCGCGGCGCGCTGCTGCAGCAGGATTTGGTGGAGGCGGGGCAGCAGCAGCAGCTGCTGCTGTGTCTGCTCACCACTCAGTCCCTTCTTGTCTTCGCTGTGGTCTTGCTGCAGCAGCAGCAGCAGCAGCAGCAGCAGAAGCACAGGAGAGCTTGCATTGCGGACTATATGTCGGGCGGGTGCTGCCCGATTCTGCTGCCTGCTGCTGCAGCGCAGCTCCAAAGCAGCAGCAGCAGCAGCTGCAGCAGCAACGGGGTGCAGCAGCAGTTGTGGATGGCTCAGCTGGTTGCTTTGGAGGACTTGGCCGTCAGCCTGCCCTCGGACATTCGCTATTTGCTGCAGCAGCAGCAGCAGCAACTCGAGGAGGAGCAGCAGCAGCTGTACCGAAGCCCCTGGCACTCCGCGCCCCGCCTTTTCGCGCAGCAGCAGCAGCAGCAGCAGCAGCAAGACGGCTGCTGCTCGCTTTACGCCTGCATTGGGGGCCAGCTGCTGCAGTTCACAATTGATCAAAGAGCAGCAAGCAGCAAAGTGCAGCGCCTGCCTCTCCGCATGAGCAGCATCTGCAGCAGCACTTGCTGCTGCAGCGCTGCAGGCAGCAGCAGCAGCAGCAGCAGCGGCAGCGGGAGAGGCAGCAGCAACAGAGCAGCCGACGGCTCCTGCAGCCGCTGCTCAGAAACAGCAGCAGCAGCAGTGCAGCGGCTGCAGCGGCAAACAGCAGCAGCAGCAGCAGCAGCAGCAGCAGGGCGCCGTCGCGGGTTCATCTTTGTGGAGGAAGTGGCTGATAAGCTGCTGGCAGCAGCAGATGACAGCAGCGGGGTGTATCTGCTGCTGCTGCACAGACACAAAGAGGGCCGCCTGCTCTCACGCATAGCCAAGGGTCTTGCTGCTCTGTAAGTGCTGCAGTTGCTGCTGCTGCTGCTGCTGTTGCTGCTGCCGCTGCGCTGCAGCATTCTTGTTTGTTGGCTTCCACCGCTGCTGCTGCTGCTGAAGACGCTGCAGGATTCCACTCAGCTGATCAGGATGGATGCTGCGATTGTCCTCTTTGCCGAGAAGAAGCAGGAGACACAGCAACAGCAGCAGCAGCAGCTGGTGCAGCAGCAGCAGCAGCAGACTTCGGAGCTGCTGCTGAAGCCCTAGAGGAGCAGCAGCACGCAGGGCCTCCCGTGGGCGTCGAGTGCGTGGCGTACATCTCCGCAAGCTGCTGGCAGAAGCAGCTTCAGCAGCAGCAGCAACTGCTGCTGCCGCCGCAGCAGCAGCAGCTGCAGCAGCAGCAGCAGCTGCAGCTTGTGGATCTGCTGTGCTCCTTCACCCCTGACGGCCAGCCGCTGCTGACGCTGGTCACTGCCAGAGGAGACCGCGTGCTGCTGCTAGTCGGCCTTGAGCAGCAAGCTGCTGGTAATGCTGCTGCTGCTGCTGCTGCTGCTGCTGATGCAGCTGACAGCAGCAGCTGCTGTTCAAGCAAAGCTGGGAAATTTTCTCTGCGTCTTCTGTCGATTCTGCACTCGCCAGATGCAGCTCAGTGCCAGCAGCAGCTGGAGGAAGCTAAAGGCAGCAGCAGCAGCAGCAGCAGCAGCAGCAGCAGAAGAGGTGATGCAGAAGCGTTAGGTGCGGGCGGCTCTCCGTTGACGCTTCGTGGCACACAGCAGCAGCAGCAGCAGCAACAGCAGCAGCAGCAGAATGCTGTTGCACTGTGCAGCAACGGGCTTTTTGTGTTTTTTGAGGGCGTTGCTGCTGCGTGCAGCGGCGCACGGCAGCAGCAGCAGCAGCTTGCTGCTGCAGACCGCCAGTCCGTGCTGCTGTCGCTACGCGTTTCCTGGCCCTCAGACACACTTCCCGGAGCAGCAGCAGCAGCAAGCTATCCTGCAGCAGCAGCTGCTGCAGCGCAGCAGCCGATGCACCTGCATTGCTGCTGTCGGCTGGCGCTGCGCTCCCCGCTGCTGGCAGCAGCAGAGGACCGGCTGCTGTGGTGGCCGCTGCAGCACCCGCAGTACGACAGCAGCAGCAGCAGCAGCAGCAGCGGCAGCTTGCGGCTGCTGCTGGGGGAGAACATAGAGGGCATACCTTCCGGCTTGGCCTCTCCCGCTGCAGCTGCTGCAGCAGCACACGGGATGGGAGCAGCAGCTGCTGCCGCAGCAGCTGCAGCAAATGCATTTGCCAGCAGTAGTAGGCGAATGTGGCTCTTCACGCCCACGGAGTTCTTGCTTGTCGAGGTCTTGGCCAGCAGCAGCAGCAGCAGCAGCAGCAAGAGCAGCAGCGTGTGTTGTGCTGCAGTAGGTGCAGCAGCCGGGCGACGGGCTGCTGCTGCACTAAGAGCTCACCGAGCAGCAGCAAAGACGGTCCGGCAGCAGCTGCAGCAGCAGCAGTCCCGCAGTGTTTTGGGCCGCCTGCAAGTCGAAGCAGACTCTGCTGCAGCAGCAACAGCAGCAGCAGTAGCTGCTATTGAGTTTAGGAAAAGCTTTCCTCTTGTGCCTCCAGCGGCGCCGCAGACGCGCTGGGGCTGTCTGCAGCAGCTGCTGTCTCTGCAGCCGTGCAGCAGCAGCAGCAGCAGCAGCAGCAGCAGCAGCATGTCTTTGGAGGAGGACCATTTGCCGCGTCTGACTCTCACCGCGGATGCAGAAGACAGCAGCAGCAAGGAGCAGCAGCAGCAGCAGCAGCAGCCCCAGTGGATTGAAGCCTTAGAGATGCGTCTGGCGCTGCTTTTGGGCCGTCTGTGGGGAACTCCACTTTACACGGCCACGAAGCAGCAGCAGCAGCAGCAGCAGCAGCAGCAGAGGCAGCAGCAGGTGAGCGCGTGGCCTGGCTTTTTGAACATAGGTGCTTTCTCTTGCCTTGAGCGTTTGCCTCAGTGCGCTGCTGACGCGCCAGCAGCTAGCTGTGGCTAGCTGTATCTAGCCGTGGCTAGCTACAGCTAGCTGAAGCTAGCCGTAGCCAGCTGTGGCTAGCTGTATCTAGCCGTGGCTAGCTACAGCTATCTGAAGCTAGCTGTATCTAGCCGTGGCTAGCTACAGCTAGCTGAAGCTAGCCGTAACTAGCTGTGGCTAGCTGTAGCTAGCTGTGGCTAGCTGTAGCTAGCTGTGGCTAGCTGCAGCTCGTTGTGGCTAGCTATAGCTAGCTGCAGGTAGTCATAGCTGCGCGTAGCTAGCTAGCTAGAGCTGCAGTGGCTGTTTTGGTGTAGTCAGCAGTGCGTTTGCTGCTGCTGCTTGCTGCAGGGCGGAGCCGGAACAACTGACATTGTGAGTGCAGCAGCAACAGCAGCAGCAGCAGCAGCAGCAACGCCGCCCGTCTGCCGGCTGCCTCTTGCCTATCTGGAGTGGCTCTGCGCGCAGCTGGACTTGCTGCTGCAGCAGCTGCTTCTGCTTGTGGGGCCCCGCGCCTCCACTCTTGCTGCTTCTTTGGTGCATGCGCTTGCTGCTGCTCGCCAGCCTCCCTGGTCTTTGGCAAGCAGCAGCAGCAGCAGGAACAGCAGCAGCAGCAGCAAAGGCAGCAGCAGCATGCACAGTGACATGCTGCAGCGGCTGGTCGAGTGTATAGACAGCTCCGGAAGCCTGCGGCGGCTGCTAGAGGCAGCACCGGGGGGATCCCTGTACCAGCAGCAGCTGCTGCGGCTGCTGGGTTTTGTGCTGCTGCTGCTGCTGCTGCGGCAGATGCTTCATCTGCTTGCTGCCATAGAGCCGCTGCCTCGCAGCAGCCGAGCTCTAGTTTGGGAGCAGGCAGACGCTCTGTCTAGGGGTGCCTCTGCAGCAGCAGCAGCAGCAGCAGCAAGCCACTTGATGTGCAGCAGGACACTTGCCCAGCTGCTGCAGTGCAGCAGAACTCAGCAGCGGCTTTGGCGCTGCCTCAGCACTGCGATCTTTATGCAGCAGCAGCAACACCCCCTCTTGCTGCTGTGTCAGGACAGCCCTGGGCAGCTTGTGGCAGCAGCAAGCAGCAGCAGCAGCAGCAGCAGTGCTGCTGCGGCTCTGAGCTCGAAACTGCGCTGGTCAGAACCTGCACAGCAGCAGCAGGAATAGGCCTAGCAAACACAACAGCAGTTGCAGCACTTGCTGGAACAGCAGCAGCAGCAGCATCAACAGCAGCAGCTGCATCAACAGCGTCAGCTGCGGCTGCAGCAGCAAACGCTTGGTTTGCGTCTGCTGCTGCTGTGTGCAGGGCTTTGAGTGCAGCAGACGGCCGGGCTCTCTTCCGTTGGTGGGCTTCGGTACTTACGCAGCAGCAGCAGCAGCTGCAGCAGCAGCAGCTGCAGCAGCAGCAGCAGCAGGCAGACAAGCCCTCACTGCTTTTGCTGCGTCTGGCTAATGCACTTCTGTCTTGCTTTGCAGAATGCGGGCCTGAGCAAAAGGTAGGAAATGCTGCTGCTGCTGCTGCTGCTGCTGCTGTCGCTGGTGCTGCTGGGGACTCCACTGCTGGCGATTGCCTAGCGACTTCCTTGCTGCCTGCTGCTTCGAGCTGCAGTTTTGCTGCTGCTTCTGCTGCACTTTGTACTTGTTTTCAGCGGGAGCTCCTCACGGAGTGCTTGCTGCAGCTGCTGCTGCAGCACGATGACTCATATCCAGCAATGCATCTAGCAGTGCAGCAGCTGGTTGCAGCAGCAGCAGCAGCAGCAGCACCGCCAAGGGGGCGCCTCGCATGTTGCTCAAGTGATTTGCAAGCCGCAGATGTTGTCGCGGCTTTCAAGGAGGCGGTCCACCTTGCTGCTGCTGCCCTCAGCAGCAGCAGCAGCAGCAGCAGCAGCAGCAGCAGCACCTTCAGCAGGGATGCTGCTGCGCTTGGCTGGCAACGGCTGCTGCCGCGGGTGCTTGGCCACACTTCCACAGAGCAGCTGCTGCTCGACTGTTCAACGTTGCATCCCTATGGGCAGCAGCAGCAGCAGCAGCAGCAGCAGCAGCAGCAGCCTGTAGATGGCCTGTGGAAGAGAGTGGAGAGAAGCAGTGGAGGGCAGTTGCCTCTGCTGCTGCCGAGCGAGTTGCTGCAGTGGATGGCGCTTGATTCTCTTTTTGAGGTCCATGAGCAGCAATCGCTGCAGTGCAGCAGGGAAGCAGCAGCAGCAGCAGCAGCAGCAGCAGCCGCTCCTGCAGCGGCTGTTCCGGGGCAGCAGCACGCTGCTGTAGCTGCTGCATGCGATGCCCTCGACAGCTCTGTCTGCTGCGGGCTGCTGCTGCGCTGCCGCCCCGAGGCGCAGCAGCATTGGGCAGTTTCGGCTCTCTTGGCAATCTTCAGCAGCAGCAGCAACAGCAGCAGCAGCAGCAGCAGCAGCAGTAGTGGAGATCCTGGGGCACTGTCAATTGTGCGTGCCTATCTGCACTGCTGCTTCAGTGGAGGCCTCGTGCCTCAAGGAGGAGTGCTGGCTCAGCTGTACGCGCAGCAGCAGCAGCAGCAGCAGCAGCAGCAGGAGCAGCGGCGCCTGCTGCTGCTGGCGGCGAGCATATACACGGCTTTGGCCACCACGGAAGCAGCACAGCAGCAGCCGCCGCTGCCAGCAGCAGTCCGCTGCGTTGCAGCAGCAGAAGCCTTGCGCCTGCTGCAGCAGCTGCTGCAGCAGCGGTCGTCAGCAATTGCTGCTGGCACATGGGAGCCTCTCTGTGGCCTAGAGCTTGCTTCACTCTTCTGCTCAATTGTTGAGCCGCAGCAGCAGCAGCAGCAGCAGCAGCAGCAGCAGAAGCAGGAGGAAACAGAGCTGCTGCAGCAGGTCGTCTCGGCGCTCGAGGCTCTTCAGACGGTGTGCTGCTGCAAACCCACCAAACTGTTGCTGCTGCAGCGCTAGCAGCCCTAGAGGCAGCAGAGATAGCAGGAGGACTAGCAGCAGCAGCAGCAGCAGAAGCAGAAGCTAATGCTGCACCTGTTTGCTGTGCGTTTTCCCTCAGATTCTCCAAGACTTGCAGCTGCCGCTGATGCACTGGGTGGCGCTGCAGCAGCTGCAGCAGCAGCAGCAGCAGCAGCCACAGCAGCGGCAGCAGCTGCAGCAGCAGCAGTGGGTTGCATCCTTGTGCAGCCAAGAAGGGGCTGTGTGGCAGCTGCGATTTGCGCTGCTGCCAGTGCCGCAGCTTTTCGCAATTGCTGCTGCTGCTGACGCTCCCCACTTTTCGCTGCGCGCGCTGCTGCTAGACTTGGCGCTGCATCTGCCAGCTGTTGTGCAGCAGCAGCAGCAGCAGCAGCAGCTCGGAGTGACTGCCACTGTGCATGCAGCAACTGCTGCGCTCCTGTCGCGCCTCTTTCTTGAGGCATCTGCAGATGCGGAGTGCCCGACCGTGAGGTGAGGCCTGCTGCTGTTGCTGCTGCTGCTGCTGCTGCTGCTGTTGCTGCGGCTGCAGCTACTGCCGCTATGGCTGTTGCGCAATCTGGCGATTCTAAGAAGTGCGTGTTTCTGCTGCTGCAGGCTGCTGCAGCAACTGCTTCCTGCTTCGGAGCAGCTAGACGGGAGTCCCATATTGCTGCTGCTGCTGCGCTGCTGCAACTTCGCATGGACGGGGCTGCCTTCCCCTCCAGATTGTGCAGCAGCAGCAGAAGCAGCAGCAGAAGCGAAGGAGGTGCTGCAGAAGGGCAACATACTGGCTCGATGCTGCCTGGAAGTGCTGCATGCCGTGTGGCGGCAGCAGCAGCAACAGCAGCAGCAGCAGGAGCAGCAGCAGGATTCATCTCTGCTGCCAGATGACCTGCTGCTGATACCCCTCGGGTGGCCGCGGGCAGCAGCATTTTCTCTTTCGGACTCGTTTGAGGCATATCTGCAGCTTCTAGCCCAAGAAACGCTCATAGAGCAAGCCTGTGATATCTTCAATGCACAACAGCAGCAGCAGCAGCAGCAGCAGCAGCAGCAGCAGCAGCAGCAGCAGCAGCAGCAAGCTCTCGTGACAGCTGCACTTGTCCGTAGCCACTTGCAGCGCGTGATGCTGCGCTTGCTGCTGGACTGGGTAAAGGCAGCAGAAGGGGAGGGCCCCCTGAGTTTGGGGGCCCCTGGTTTCGGGTGTATAGACAGCTCCCTGGACTTTGAGTCCATTAGTGCATTTTTAGATGGAGTGGTTGAGGGAGAAGCGGGAGGAGATAAACAACTAATGGAAGCAGCAAAACTTATCAAGGTGCTGCTGGCGAATGCATGCAGCACGAACAAGCACATGCGCAGGCTTCACCCGCAGCAGCAGCAGCAGCAGCAGTTTCTGCTGCAGCAGCAGCAGCGACAGCTGCAGCAGCAGCTACAGTTCAGTGGCTGCGGGTTCCCTGAGGGAGTTGCATAGAAAGAGGGCTTTCCCCTCTCTTTTGTCTGTTTAAATGATTAAACTGATTAAATTGTTTTAATTCCAAGGAACAAAATAATTACAAATATGTTTAAATATGCGTCAAGTCGTGGGTGGCCTCTTTTGCATATTTGCGCTTTTTCGCCTGTCACCAACGAAACTCCTTTGCATATATCTTTCTCAAAATATTTCCTTAAAATATATTTGGGGGTTTTCTGCCACACTCCCTGTTGGGCGCTCCCAAAGAAGCTGCCAAACGAGGCAGAAGCAGCAGCAGCAACAGCAGCAGCAGCAACAGCAGCAGCAGCAACAGCAGCAGCAGCAATTTGAAGCACCACTTCATCCTTTTAAACTGGCCAGCTATTTGGTGTTTTGAAGCTTAATGAGTTCAGCTGTTAACATTCAAACACTTCCACCTGTCAACTTTATGGAAATAAGCATTTAATTAAATAAGCATTTAATTAAATAGTGAGAACATTTCCTCCAAAGATCTGTAATGTTCCCGCCAAAGCGCATTAACACTTAATACAAATACTGTATATACACCATGCACCAGATGCATGCATGCAAGCAGCTGCTGCTGCTGCTCACCTACAATGCCTGGCGAGACGAGTGCCTCGTATTTAGGCTTAGTAACTAACTAAATAATACACTTTCTAAGTAAATAATTAAATAATATACTTACAAGATGACATTACTATGAAATGTTATACTAATTAGGTGCACATTACCATATCATGCAGCTCACACTCAGATAGAATGGCTTCTGTCCGCTGCAGTGTGGCTTCCCAGGCGAAGCCAATGTTCATTCTGCATGCAACTTTTGCTGATTCCCTGCCATTTAACATTGATTAGTTTGTTAATTTGCATCTTTAGGAGCTCTTTACTGTATCTTTTATTTCTGTTTGCTCCTTAGCATGGGGTCTCTGGCTTATATTGCCGCTTCCTCCGCCAGACAAAGCCAGTAGGCAACAAAGAAAAGAAGCAACACTGTTTGTCTCATTGAAACTTTAACTTGTGGGCGCCGCTGTGGGCGCGGACTGCAGCAGCAGGGGCCCCTGCTCTTCCTGCAGCTGCAGCAGCACGAGTCCCGGCACTTGCTGCAGCAGCGGGGGCCCCCGCTCTTGCTGCAGCAGCAGCAGCAAGGGGCCGCTGCTCTTGCTGCAGCAGCACGGGCCCCCATGCTGCCCTGCAACAGCTGCCGCTGTAGCAGCAGATGTCATTGCAGACATAATCGCTTAGGAAACGGTGACAGAGTGGTGAATGGAAGCCAAAGAGAACAAAGAACACACAAATAGTTTAACAACAAAAGTGCGGGAGAGGCAAGGTAAAGACGCTGTATATGTATATACATATATACTTATATTCATATATACGTACGTGCAGGAAAGCGAGTGTAATCTACTGCGGAAACGCTGAACTTGTCTTACATTGAACCATATACATATTAAATATTGTATATATTTTATATTTTTTTTATATTTGCTTTTCTACTGTTGCTGCATAAATTGCTGCTGCGCTTAGAACAGCTTCGTAATCGCCGCCGGAGTGACGTTGTGGTCAACGATGTGTCTGAACGCAGCAGCACAGCAGCAGCAAAATTCAGATTAAAAACAAAACACAAAATAATAAAGGAAATTAATGAAGTGAAGCAATAAATAAATCACAAGTACCCACAGACAAGTACACACACACAACCCACACGGGCAAGACAGAAATGTGTGTATAATCGTTCTTGCTTAAATATAACATAACAAGCAGTACATATGTATTATAAGTAGTCTTATAGATCCTTGTTAGGCCCACATAGACATATATATATCACACTTCAATGCAACCCCAAGACCTTCGCTGTAAACCCTAAACCCTTGCTGCAGTTGCAACTCTAGGACGAAGCCACCAGCCAAACCCTAAACCCTTCTTGCCTACCTCCTGATGTGTGCTTGAGTGCGGATAATGTAGTGCTGCTTCTTCTGAATAGCTTTCTTCAGCCTCAGCTTCAAGTAGCAAGCCTCAAGAACGTTAACCACCGGAGTCCACGCAGCAAGGCACTGCCGCTGCAGCAGCGTCAGCTGCTTCGCTGCGTCCTGCTTCAGGAATATCATGGTCTTGCCCACCTGAGAGCAGCAGCAGCAGCACGAGGGTTTAGAGTTTACGTTTAAGAACCAGTTCAATTTAATGTATGATCAGTCTAATTCCTCTTGTGGACTTGCAGAAAGCAAAGACAACCGGCTAAGAGAGGCTGTCGGTTGTTTCAAGAACAAAAAGCAGCTTGAACCCATTCACTTTTAATAAAAATGTGACGAATTTTCAACGCCCCTGCGCTGACACATCTAGGCAACGAGCTACTTAACCAAATAATTGAATACTGACGGTGAATAACAGACAGTTATTTAACTGGCTGTTTCCTGTTTACCTGGCACTCGTTCTTGCTGACTTTAGCCTTATCAAGGAGAGCCTCGCAGGCTTCCTTGGGCGACAATTTGGGGTTTTCACAAATGCCCAAATCAATGAACTTGAACTGGTACAGGAAGTCTTTGAAGGGGCGTCTGTGGGTAGGACGACAGACATGCAGGTAAAAGTCAATGAACAGCGCCCCCCAAATGCGTGTAATAATTCAGGATTTATATTTATATTATTTGTGAGGAGTACTGCTATTAAAGCATTTGCATGCAAGTTCATCTGTGGCGCCAGCAACGCGAGATCCGCACCACCCCAGCACCGCCCATTCCCACTTATACCGGGGAGAAGCTTTCCGTTAAAACTAAAACTGGCTGTTTATGAATTAAAGCCTGCATTTACTTCTATTAAGAGCTACTGTTTGTCCGATTTACCTGTAAGAAAAGCCAACTTGTCTGAGCTGCAGCGCCTCCAGCACTGAAAGCGCGTGAAGTTGAATGAGCACTTTGGACTGGACCCAGTCCAGTGGCTTTTTGGTGTCATTGGGCTTCACGCAGCGCACGAAATGCGGCTCTGTGCTCTGCAGCGAAAAAACAAAGCAATTGCATGCACAAAAATATCAAGAAACGCATTTCTGCAAACTCGGAAATCGCCAGCCAAGTGGCATTTTGAACGATAAGCTGCCGAATCACTGCAAACGAGCTGGCGCAAACGAAAGCGCTAAAGAAATTTGGAAACAGAGAAAAATTTGAATTAAGAACCACCAGTGCAACTTAGGTGATACTGGAAAAGGGCGCACACAAAAGCCACTAAAGGAAGACCAAACAGCGAACTAAACATCCAACGAAGCAAGACGAACAAGACCCCTCGCGGCGCGGGCGATCTCACGTTGATAAGGTCCATGAGAGCCTCGAGTTGCCTCAAGAACTGGGAGCCAATGAGCTGGCCCTTGGCGATTTTTCCCTTTTCCATGACGATGCCGGCGAACAAGTCGCGGACGACGGAGTTGGAGGAGGCCTGGACGACCTCCATGATCTCCGCCCTGAGGACGTCTTTATTCTTGAAGAGAAAGCCCTCTGCGTTGTACTGAATGTCGCCGATGGTGTGGCAAACGAGGAAGTTGATGTTGGGCGAAACCTTGGCGGGTTTGAACTTGGGGGAGTTCTTGAAGGCGGACTTGCAAGCCGCCACGAACTTCTCGTCGCCGCCGCCGGGGGCCAAGCACTGGTCCTCCAGAGTGGACAAAATGGAGCTTTTTTTGTCGGTGAGGAGAGAAATGACGTCGGCGTTGGAGGTGTAGACGAGTTCGGCGGTGGAAACGCCTTCTTCCTTGTAGAGTTTGGCCTCGCGGGTGAAGACGATGTCGACGAAGTTTTTTTGGAGCATTTCGTTGGTGACGTTGATGAAGAACTGTTCGAGGGAGTTGTTTTTGAAGACTTCGAAGCCGAAGATGTCGAGCATGCCCAAGAAGTTGCGGAAGCCCTCGGGGGGCTCGATGGACTTGTTGAGTTCGCGGATGATCCACAAGAACAGCTTGTCGTACATGGCTTTGGCCAGCGAAGACTTGAGCATGTCTCCGTCTTCTTGTTTCCAGCGGCTTTCCACTTTTTGGCCGCCCGCGTAGGTGACTTTGAGCGTGAGTTCGCGCAGCACGGCCTCTGCGTCGATGTGCAGCAGCTGGCAGGCCCGGTTGAAGAGCGCCAAGTCCTCGCCTTCAATGGCCGCCGCGTCGTCCAGCCCGCCCTGCTTGGAAGCAGAGACCTTCACGTTTCCCAGCAGCAAGACTCCACTGACAATGCTCCAGACGGCCTCCACCTGCTCCTCGCTCATGGCCATGGACTTGAACGCCGCGCAGACGTCCCGGTAGTCCGCCACGTCGTCGATCCCGGCCACTTCGAAGCACTTGGGGTTTATGTAAGTGTACTGGTCGAGGGAAAGCAAGTGGAACTTCTCGCGCATGGCGGAGTCCGCGCCTTTGCAGAGTTGGTAGAAAATGTGGTAAGACCTTTCTTGTTCGTCTTGCGTCAAAACCCGCGACTTCTCCAGCAAAAAAGCCACCACGCTCCCGTACCGAATGCCCCCCTCCTTCGCCACGTCCAGCTGCATGAACCTCCCGAAGCGGGAGGAGTTGTTGTTGCGAATAGTCTTTGCATTTCCAAAAGCCTCTAAGACTGGATTTGCTGCCATTATTGCGTTTTGAATTCGCATGTCCATCGCCCCCCCCTTCGCAGCAGCGAAGTACCGCATCACTTGCTTCGTGGCTTCCGTTTTCCCCGCCCCAGACTCTCCTGCAAGCCAAACCCATATATATATATATATATATATATATATATATATATATATATATATATATATATTATCTTCTTATAGTAAATAACTAAATAAATATATATAAATATTAGATATATAAATATATAGATAAATATATAGATATATATGCAGAAGTCGATGATATCTGCGTGGAGCTGGTGCGAGTTGTGTCTGTCGCTTGGCGTTTCGCAGCTTTCAAGGGTTTAGGGTTTAGGGTTTAGGGTTTGTCTCGAACCGGAAACAATGATGGTTTGCGACTTGTTGACCCCATGGAGATTATCCAGAGCCACCCTGGCAGTATAGAAGACATGGGGGGGCAGTTTAGTGAAGTCATCTGCATCTCTGTACTTGCAAATCCACTCTTTGGTGGTATTTCCCAAGTCCTTAAAAGGGTTTATCGCCACCACCAGCGGGTCCGCGCAAGTGTAGATCTGATTCCGCAAGTACCGGTGCCGCAAAAAGTCCAACACGCAGGGAATGTTCGTGTGCGGCAGCATGCCAATATCCCCATAGGTCATTGGGTCTATAGAACTATTAACATTCCACGCGTGGGCCTGCGGGACTTCGAAGGGCTCGCTGGCCCCTGGGCCGACTATTTGCTGCACTAAGAGCACTTCTTGGCTGGAGCCGCCCTGCACTGCGCACTTGGCGAACATCAGGTTCGGCTGCTCGCGAACCGCGGGGGCCAGGTCCGTCCAGATTTGGAAACCCTGCAGCAGCAGCAGCAGCAGCAGCAGCAGCAGCAGCAGCGGGTGCAGCAGCAGCAGCAGCGGGGGAAGCAGCGGAAGGGGGGGTCGGGGCAGTCAAGGGAAGGGGGTAGGGGAAATGGGGAAGCAAGGGAGGGTTCGGGGGATAGGCGGGACAAAGGGCAGCAGCAGCAACTGCTGCTGCTGCTGCTGCTGCTGCTGCTGCTGCTGGTGATGGGGAGGATTAGAGACAGAAGCAGCGCAAGTGCCACGGGCAGCAGCAGACGGTCAAGCCAAGAATGCAACGGGAAGCAGCAGCAGCTGCTGCTGCTGCGCTCTCGCACAGCCACAAGTCATGCACACGACACGCAGCAAGAAACGGCTAACTCTGTGCTGCTGCCAGTCTCAGCCGCTGCTGCTGCTGCTGCTGCTGCTGCTGCTGCTGCTGCCCCCAACCTGCCGCTGCTACTACTCGCACTGCCACGCCTATCTAGTTGCATTCGTGTGTCTACTCAGCACTGCAGCTGCTGCACTCGAGCTGCTGCTGCCTTTTTTGCTGCTGCTGCAGCTGCTGCTGCTGCTGCTGCAGTGTTGTGTTGGGCGGCCCTGTTTCTGTGTCCGAGTGTACGTACAGCTCCGCGTGGACGGACGCTGTTCGCTGGAGCGGCGCTGCTGCTGCTGCAGCGCGAGCAGCTGCAGCAGCAGCAGCAGCTGCTGCTGCTGCTGCTGCTGCTGCTGCAGAAACCCGGAAAAGCAGCCACAAAATTCGAAAGGAATTGATGCACTGAGAACAGCAGATGCAGTTTAGGCAGCTAACCTTAAACACGGCGCCGGACTGGTCGAACACATGGACGTCAGAGACCTTCTTCTTGAGGCCCGCGGCCGTTTTGACTTCTTCGGCAGCCATTGTGGCTAAGCGGGTGGACTTGAGCTGGAAAGCAGCTCGCAGATGCAAAAACTTTGAGAAATAAGTCCTATTTAGCGAAAAAAAAGAAGAAAAAGACACAAAATGGTCCAAACTGAGGCAGGTAGCAGTGAGGAAGCGCTGCGCTGCGTGGCTCCCTGCGCTGCGCTGGGGTGTATCGACAGCTCGAACGGAAAACTCGGAACCCGAAAAAAAGGTTTCAAAAGCCCAGACTACTTTTTAAAGTCTGAAATGCATTTTGTAGTCTAAAGGAGAACAAAAAAGCACCGAAAAAGACAAACTTGCCACTCCAAGCCTCCCACAGCCTCGAGCTGCAGTGGCTGACCGCATAGGTCCGCTGGTGTACTTTTTAGTGGCTCGACGCCGCCGAGGCGGAGGCCGCTTTCCTTTCTTTCGGCTTTAAATGCTAACTTCGAATAAATAAATCCTTTTTTGTGTTTTCTAAAATCAATTTCTCCTTGAAATGATACCTTTTGCTGCTTATTTGCGGCTCTGCACGCCCCGACTAGCCTGGCGCTGCCGCGAGGCTCTCTGGGCTGCGCTGGCGGGTCGATGCAGCCTCCCAACGCAGCGTTCGTTTGCATCAGTAAACAAATTGAATTAAATTGTTGAAAATAATTATTTTAAATTAAAAAATGTTTCAAACTTGGGGGAATAACTCAATGAGCCGGCGGCGTCGCGGGAATTCACGAGAGGCAGATCATTGAACGGCTGCAGCACTGCAGCCTGCAGCGCGCTGCGCAGCCCGGCTAATGCATTTGCTGCTATTTATAACTTCATGAAAAAGAAAAAGGACAAAAAGAAGTATATTAGTTTGCTGCTAAAGGCAAAGAAGATTGTGCTGCTGCTGCTGCAGCAGCAGTGCATGCCTGGTGTACGTACACTGCAGAGGCGCGCGTGGAGTACGTACACTGGAGAGGCGCCAGGGCCAGCCGCAGCTAGCCAGTCGCTGAAAGAGCTTTAAAATAAATTAAAAATATTTAATTTTATTTAAAGTTTTGAGTTTTGCGAAGCAGAAACAGCTGCAAGCAGCTCCTCAGGCCCAAAGCTTAGCTGTACACACTATCGCAGCAAGCCCTGCTGCTGCACCTGCGCCTCTGCTGCTGGACTTTGAGCTTTTTTGCATTTTCTTTCCTTCAAAAGATATATTTTAAGTCCAATTGTGTCCATTAACTCAAAATAAATGGCCCCCTTGCTGCTGCATGCTGCAGCAGCAGCAAAAGCAAAAGAATTTCCCACTCAACACTTTGCCAACTTCGACAAAAACAATAAACACCAACCCCACCCACTCTGCAGCCCAAAGTGGTGGGCCCCAGGAAGCAGCAGAGGCGCCCCTAGGTGCGGCCCTAGCCCTCTTATTCACCCTAACCCTAACCCTAAACCCTAAACCCTAAACCCTAAACCCTAAACATCGTTTCTTTCTTCTGCTTGTTTGCCTCTCAGCGTTGCTGCTGGCTGCGGAGCCTCTTGGCAGCAAAAAGCAGAAATTAGTCAAACTCAAAACAGCTGCTGCTTTTTGCTGCGCCTCCCCGTTGCGTAGGAATCATAGCTAGCTGTAGCTAGCCGGGGACTGAAGCAGCTAGCCAGGTGCCTAGCTAGCTAGCTGCTGCGGGCAGCTGTGGCTCGCTGCAGCTAGCTGTAACCAGCTGCAGCCAGCTGCAGCCAGCTGCAGCGAGCTACAGCTAGCTGCAGCTAGCTGCAGCTAGCTGCACTTAGCTGTAGTTAGCCGTAGCTAGCTGCGGCTAGTCGTCGCTAGATGTAGCTAGCTATAGCTAGCCGTAGCTAGCTGTAGCTAGCCGTAGCTAGCTGTAGCTAGCTGTAGCCAGAGCTAGCTGCGGGTAGCTGCTTTGTGCTCTGCATGAAAAGTATTAAAGACATCGAAAGGCTACTTTGAAGCTGTTGGCTTCGAGCAGCAAAAAAAGCAGCAGCAGCAGCAGCAGCGCTAAGCTTGCTGGGACTCCCCTGGTGGATTCTTTTTCAATTAAATGATTCTGCACTTTCTACAAAGCTAATTAAAAAAATATAAAATAAGTCTTTTGTTTATTTAAACCCTTAAAGCTGCTGCTGACCGAGACCGCAGCTGCAGCAGCTGCGCCGAAAGATGCATGGGTGCGCTCTGGCTCTTTGCAGCGAAGACCAGCCAGGTGGCTAGCTGTGGCTAGCTGTGGCTAGCTGTGGTTTTCCGTGGCTAGCTGTGGCTAGCTGTGGCTAGCTGTGGCTAGGTGTCGTTAGGTGTGGCAAGCTATGGCTAGCTGTGACTAGCTCTGGTTTGCTGCTGCTAGCTGTGGCTAGATCTGGCAAGCCGCAGCTAGCTGCGGCTAGCTGCGGCTAGCTGTGTCTATCTACAGCCAACTGTGGATAGCTGTGGCTTGTGTTGGCTGTGGCTAGCTGCGGCTAGCTGTGGCTAGCTACGGCTAGCTGTGGCTAGCTGTGGCTAGCTTTGGCTAGCTGACGGCAGCGCGAAGTGACAGTTGTTGGCAATTGCTTCCCTCGGGCTCTAGGGCTTCAGTACGGAGGCGCTCGGGGGAGAAAGACTGTCGAAACTAGACAAAGAGAAACCCTAAACCCTAAACCCTAGACCCTAAACCCTAAACCCTAAACCCTAAGCACTCGCTCTTAACCCCCACCACCGAGCATTTGAGTATGGCGACAGCAAACCCTCTGTAAACCCCAAACCAAAATCGCTAAACCCTAAACCCTGAGTAAAAATATTATCTTTTTAATTTGAATTCGAGAAATGGCAGAAATAATTATTTGAACTGTTCCTGCAGGTTCTTGACGCATAGCGGAACGCTGTGTGGAGTGTCTGTACACCTGAATTCTCTTCTGAGTCTTGATCAGAGATTTCCAGATAAACCAAATATTTATTTTTGCCAATTATATTATTTTTGTTTTAATTTATTTCTTTGTGTTCACTTACCTCTCACTTTTACTCTTTTAGGCGGCGCAGCGGCGGCTGCGGGTTCAGTGAGGAACAGGCAGATCAGGCGGGGAAGATGAAGTAAATAAAGAAACATTTCTTTAAATAACCGAAATTTAAAAATTAGTTTTCAAATTATTTCATATTAATATAAATTATTTCATTTAAATTGACAATAACACATGATTATTCGCCGGAGCGCTCCGGAGTGCTCTCCTGCTGCGCCCCCGCTGCTCCCGTTTTTAAAGATTCAAAAGCTGGTTTTGAATAAAATGAAATCTAATTTAATTTAATAAAAAAATTCATTTAATTTAATTTAAATAATTTATTTCCTTGAGAGCAGCCCAGCGACTCCCGAATGCGTTTCGGGAACGCAGCGGGGCAGTCTGGTCTGGCCTGTTCTGTCAGTGCTGCTGCTGCTGCTGCTGCTGCTGCTGCTGCTGCTGCTGCAGCGGCTTTCTTGCTTTCGCTTGAATTAAATGACTGAGTTCGTTTCTTTTTTATTTCTCGAGGGGCCAAAGAGCCTCTCTGGCCTCCAAACCCTAGCCCTAGGCCCTAAACCCTAAACCCTAAATCCTCGGCCGCCAGGGTCACTTCCCCGTCATGGGCGTTGCTCTCCAACTCTGCATGCGGCCTGGCAGCAAGAAACCCTTTTGTGTGGAGTTGCTGTGGGGCAGCGGGCCTTTCTCTTGCGGCTGTGAAAAACCCTAAACCCTAAACCCTAAACCCTAAACCCTAAATCCCAAACCCTTGACGGCTCCACACGCGGACAGGCAGATGCGGGCCTGCGCCAGGGCCTGCCGGCGCTGCACGCTCCACTGCCTGAACCCTAAACCCTAAACCCTAAACCCTAAACCCTAAACCTGTTCAAAGACGCAGCTACGGCAGCCCGTTAGGCTGTTCCCTGGTGCCAGAGATGGCCAAAAGCTTGGGGAGTCTCACCAGTGCTGCTGCTGCTGCTGCTGCTGCTGCTGCTGCTGCTGCTACTTTGTCTTTTTTATCTTTGGCTCCATCTAAAGTGCCTCTCCATGCCGCTCCTCACCGAAGAAGAGCTCGAGAGGTTTCGCACCAAGTCATGTCACAGAGTGCGCACCACGCACTGGTAAGCCTAAACCCTAAACCCTAAACCCTAAACCCTAAACCCTAAGCTCTAAACCCTAAACCCTAATCCCTGGGCCCTGAACCACATAGCTTGGAATGCGGGGGCCTTTGATGGGGCTTGGCTCTGCGCATACTTCTTGCGCTGACATTTCATTAGGGTTTAGGGTTTGCAGGGTTCAAAACAAGAAGCCCTGAAGTACACGGGACTTAGGGTTTAGGGTTTAGGGTTTAGGGTTTAGGCTTTATCTGCGTTTTCAGTGAGTTTGGCCAGGAAAAGTGCAACTATGGCCATGACCCTGTTTGGGTGCGTCGGTCACCTTTTTCATTTAGAGATTTGCCTGCAGCAGCAGCTGCTGCTGCAGCAACAGCAGCAACAGAAGCTGCAGCAGCAGCAGGGGTCGTAGCAGCGACAAACTCCACTGGAAAGGTAGCCATTCTAAGGTATTTGCCCATCCTCTGCTCGAGGGCTGCTGCAGCTGAGTCGGCCGCAGCAGCAGCAGCAGCAGCAGCAGCAGCAACAGCAGGTGCAGCACTGCACGCAGCAGCAGCAGTACCAGCAGCAGCGGCTCCTACGGATTTAGGCGCAACAAAGGGAAGTGCGGCTGCCGCAGCGGCAGTGGCGGCTGCGGCGGCAGCAGCCGCAGCAGCAGCAGCTGCTGCTGCTGCAGTCAAAGCTGCTGCAGCAAAACCAGCAGCAGCAAAAGCAGCAGCAAGGCCCTGCAGCTCTTCCTGCATCTTCTCGCATAGCCAAGACGAAATAAATTACCACCCCTTGGTGTACAAGCGCACCTCTTGTGCTGATTTCCACAGCAGCTGCAGCAGCAGCAGCACCTGCAGCAGCAGCTGCAGCAGCAGCAGCGGCAGCAGCAGCAGCAGTAACAACAGCACATGTGACGTTTACTACTGCCACAAGATCCACGGCCCTCGGGAAGAGCGAAAGCCGCGGCTGTTTCTGCTGCTGCACCGATCAGCAGCAGCAGCAGCAGCGGCAGCAGCAGCAGCAGCTTTCGCCCCCTTCGTGCTGCCAGCGGAGTTGTGGGGCGGCTCTCTTGTGTTCAGAAAGTCTCCCTTCAAGACACAAGCAGTGCGAGTTCCTAGAATAGGGCTCCCCTCCAGCAGGCAGCAGCAGCAGCAGCAGCAGCAGCAGCAGCAGCAGCAGCAGAATTGGCAGCAGTGGCAGCAGCAGCGCTTGTGTGCTGCACGGGGCAATGCGTCGAGAGAGCCCTTTCCGAAGGCACTGGCGACAAGGGGCAGCAGCAGCAGCAGCAACGGCTGTGGTGGCAGCAGCAGAACAGCTGCTAGCGCAGCAGCTGCTCCGAGGCAGCAGCAGCAGCAGCAAATTCACCAGAAGCAGCAAATCTACCAGCAGCAGCTGCAGAGCCGCAGCTTGCCGCAGCGTTTGACACTGTGCAGTGCTGCTGCTGTCCCCTACAGAGCCACCTGTTCTATCGGAGTTGCTCCTGCAGCAGCAGCAGCAGCAGCAGCAGCAGCAGAAGCAGCAGCAGCACCAATAGCAGCAATGGAAGCATCTCAACGGGTAGGCAGGCACAGGCTTTCCGCTTCGCATCTACCATCGGCAGCAGCAGCAGCAGCAGCAGCAGCAGCAGCAACAGCAGAAGGGTCTGCACTTATTTCAGGCCCCTCGCATTTCCGCATTGCTGATGCTGGCATAGGGCAGAAGCTGCAGCAGCAGCAGCAAGTGTACCAGCAGCAGCTGCAGCAGCAGCAGCAGCAGCAGCAACAGCTATACCAGCAGCAGCAAAACCAAACATGTCTGGAGGGCTTCTGGGAGCAGGTAGAAGGCATTGGATGTCATATGGCTCTGCTGCAGCAGCAGCAGGAACTATTCGTATTTTCGGCAGCAAAAGTGCAACCACTCGCAGCAGCAGCAACAGCAGCAGCTGCTGCTGCTGCTGCTGTTGCTGCAGTGGGAACGGAAGAAGCTTCCGAGCATGAGTCCCCGAAAATTGCTGGTGCTGCTGCAGCAGACGTCCTGACAGCCTGGCAAATGCATGCAACATCAGAAACAGCAGCAGCAGCAGCAACAGCAACAGCAACAGCAGCAGCAACAGCAACAGCAGCAGCACTCTGTGTTTCTGCCGCTGGTGCCCCCACTTGTGCTTCTGCGAGCCATGGCAAGGCCCCCCCACCATCGTCGATAACCCTAAGCAGAGCATGCAGCAACAGCAGCAGCAGCAGCAGCAGCAGCAGCAGCAGCCACTGTGACTGGTCCAGCAACAGTCGTTTTTGCTGGCCATCCTACACCGTGGGCGGCTGCTGCAGCGAGCAGCAGCAGCAGCAGCAGCAGCAGCAGCAGCAGCAGCAGCAGCAGCACCTTTCGCTGAATACTTGGTCCTGGCAGCCTCAGTCCCGCCAGGGGTTGCGGCTGCGGCTGCAGCTGCAGCAGGAATTTCTTGCTGCAGTGCCGCATGCGCCGCCAGCAGCACTGAGCGCAGCAGCAGCAGCAGCAGCAGCAGTGGAAGCTCGCGCAGCAGCAGAAATAGCAGCACGTGTTGATGTGGAGGAATTTCCACCAAACCCCGGAGAGTCCCCTATTCGTTTTCTTCCTTTGAATAAAGCAGCAGCAGCAGCCGCAGCGGAAGCGTCAGCTGCTGCTGCTGCTGCTGCTGCTGCTGCTGAGGAAAGCCGCAGCCACAGACACTGGCTCTCACACAGCAGCAGGTTGACCCCCAAGCCTCTCACCCAAGAACAGCAGCAGCAGCAGCAGCAAGCAAACCGCGCGCAGCATAGCAGCAGCGGGGGATTTTTGACTCCCTGTGGAGACGCAGCAGCAGCAGCAGCAGCAACGGAAGAAATAGCAGCAGCGGAAGCAGAAGCAGCTGCAGAAGCAGCGGCAGCAGCAGATATTTTCTGGGAGCAGCACTTACGGCCTCAACTGGAGAGTCTTCTAGCGAGCGACAGCAGCAGGTCAAGCAGGAGCAGGAGCAGCAGCAACAGCAGCAGCAGCAGCAGCAGAAGCAGCGGCGAGTGCAGCAGCAGCAGAAGCAAAGAAGCAACTTGCTGCAGAAAGGCAACGTCTGCTGGAAAAGCAAGTACAGGCGGGCACTCTGTGCGGAGCAGCAGCAGCAGCAGCAGCAGCAGCAGCAGCAGCAGCAGCAACAGCAACAGCAGCGGCAGTTGCCTCTCTAGCACAGCTGGAGGCCCTGCAGTTGTTAACGTCTGTGCAGGCATGAAAAAGCAGCAGCAGCCAGTGCAGCAGCGAGGACAAGTGCAGCAGCAGCGGAAGCTGCAGCAGCAGAGACTGAAGAAGCAGAGGCTGCAGCAGCTGCTGCAGCACCACAAAAGGGGCCATGATGGCCAGCTGAGCACTCCAGCAAGGCGATTTTCCCAGCAGCTGCAGCAGCAGCAAACTCTCGAAATCACGCTGCGTGGGCAGCAGCTGCTGAGGACCCTGCAGCAGCAGCAGCAGCAGCAGCAGCAGCAAACGCAGCAGCAGCAGCAACAGCAAGCGGAACCGACCGCAAAACAGACAGCCAGCGTATCTGCTGCAGCAGAGTCTGCTGCCAATGGCTCTGAAAGTGCTGCTGCAACCGTTATTGTGTCTGCTGCTGCGGCTGCTGCTGCTGCTAATGGTGAGCCTTCCCAGGAAGCAAGCCTCCCGCTGCAGCAGCAGCCACAAAAGCAGCAGCAGCAGCAGCCGCAGCTCCTGCTGCAGCTTCTCCAGGGAAACCTGAACCTGAGGCGCTTCTACACAAGCCTTTGCTTGTGGCAGAGTGGGGTCTGCAACAAATCGGCAGCAGGAGCAGCAGCAGCAGCAGCTGCTGCAGCAGCAAGGCCTGCACGATATAGGAGGGCGAGGGCTCTGCGGAGCAGTCAGCGGCCCTTTTCCAAGCACAGCCACAGCAGCAGCTGCTGCTGCAGGCGCTGCAGCAGCAGCAGCTGCTGCTGCTGCAGGAGCTGCTGCAGCGCACGAAGCCAGCATTCGCAAACTGGATGGTTTGTGAGGCAGCAGAAGCTGCTGGGGAAGAGTAATATGCAGCAGCAAAAAGCAGAAGGAGCCACCACGGCAGCAGCAGCAGCAGCAGTTGCTGTTGCTGTTGCTGCAGTTCCTGATGCTACTTGAGCAGTGCAATGACCTGCTGTTGCTGCAGTGGCAGCCGCTGCTTTTGTTAGTGCTGTTTGCTGCTGCTGCTGCTGCTGCTGCTGTTGCTGCACGCAATAGGAGCAATGGCTTCTGCGCCTGCGAGAGCAGCAGTCTGCAGCTTTAGCACTTTAGTAAATCGAACGTTTGAGCAGCAGCAGCAGCAGCAGCAGCAGCGGCAGCAGCAGCAGCTGCTATTGTTGCTGGTGCACTATGGGGAGAAAATTCTCCCCTTCAGCAGAAGCAGCAGCAGCACGAGGAACAAGCGCAGCAGGCGCCGCAGCAGAGGGCACTCTGGGGTGTATCTCGAACTTTCTGCTGCTGGGAGTTCCTTCATTTTAACAATTTTGGTTTGCCTATAATTCAACTTGGCCAATTTCAGGTGTACGTACACCCCAACTGCTGCAACGACGTGGACGCAGCTGTGCATACACCCCACAAAACGCATGCATCCCATTTGTGCCGAAGTCCCCGAACATAACTTGAAGTGTACAGACACCCCAGCACATGCTGAGGTGTACGCGCTCCTCTGCGCGTGTTGAGGTGTACATACACCTGGATAGAGAGGCCACAGATCCACAGCGTCACTCAAGTGGAAATAAAGCCGGTTGTGAACAAATATAACAAATTCTGAAAATGCAAAAGGCAGATACGCAAGATGGGGCCTCAAGATACCCTGAGGTGTGCATACACCTCAAGGCACGCTGCGGTGCACATACACCCCAATGCTGCTTCATTAAAATTTATATTTTTGCAGTTTATCCCTTTCGTCTTTTGCTGCCGAGATGCTTCGAGCTGTCTGTACACCACGGAAGGCAGCTTGCGAGAACAACACCAAAAGAGGTCCTAGAAAGTGACTCACTATATATATAAATATACTTATGGACATATATACATACAACTATATTTTTATATAAATGCATCTAAATATATAAATATATATCCATGTATATATATATATATACATATATATATATGTACATTTGTATATATGCGCACATCTCCACACATGTATAACATATATGCCTCCCTCTCTGTTTCTATTTGAGCCCACGCCTTCACGAATTTCAGTTTGCCTTTTTGTGGATGTCCGTACAGATATAAATATGTATAATTGTATGCCCATATTACATAAAGCAATTAAAGTATTTATATGCAGATATATATATATATATATATATATATATATATATATATATCTATATACGTATCTTACGTAGAGCAATTAGAGTACATATATGCTCATATATGTATGCATATATATGTATATATATACGCACATTATATAAACCAAAATAGGTATTTATATGCATATATATATATATGTGTGTGTGTGTGCGCATATTAATATAAATCAGTTTATTTATACGCACATCCATTTGGTCCTGTGTTATGCTATAAATTGAGTTGCTGAAGGCATGTGGCGGCCTTCGCAAGAATTTACATGTTCATTTATAAAAGTTATTTGAGAATATACTTGTTCTTTGAACTTGTATTTGAAGATGTTCTCTTAAAAGCACTATTTATTTCCACTTTTTCTTTGATAATATGAGTCTAGAAGCCTTTATTTCTGCTGAATTCTTCGCCTCACTTTGCTGCTTCTGGGCGGTTTGCTGCTGCTGCAGTTGAACTGCTGCAGCAGCTAATTCAAAAGTGTCCGATTTGCTTCCGCTGCTGCAGCAGAGCTGCTGCTCGCTGCAGCTACCAAACCCTAAACCCTAAACCCTCGAACGGAGACTCCGAAGGCCTGCGTTGCAGCTCGCAGCTCACCAGCTGCGTATTTACTAATTTTAGTACTTACTAATTACTACTTATTTATTATTTATTTCTTTTTAAATTTGCCTTTTTGCTTTTTAAAGAAATTCTGCGCCTCCCACAGCGGCGAAGCTCTGGCGCAGCGGCTGAGAGGATTTCGTGCATTTTATCTATTTATTTATCCATTATCTATTTAATAATTATTTATTCATCTATTCACGAGTTTATTTATTTATTTGGCATTTCTTTCTTTTGTTCAAAATGCCATTTAATTGCAATTTACTTCCTAAATAAGTCCAATAGCAACTCTAAAACGCGTTTACTGAGTTTAATTTCCCTTTGAAGATCTAAAAACTAGAAAATAAATGAAAGTGAAAAGCAAAAAAGAAGAAATTGGAAACATGAATACTTGCATGTTTTCAGGTGTACGTGCATGCACGCCGCGTGCAGCGGCAGCGCGGGGCTCCGCCATTTCGGATTTTTGAAAAGTCTTTGAAGACTTTTTGGAGAATTTGGAAATAAAAGTATTAAATAAAAGTATTTAATTAGATTATTTCGGGAGTTATGATCTTGTGGACTTTTTTCGTTTTTGAACTCAAGAGGAATCTGCACAAGGCCTCTTGCAATGCGGCAAAAAGGACTCTGCGAAAAAACGAATTAAACGCCGACGCATCAGCGAGGCCTCGTGCGGCGAAGACGGCCCGTGGCGAGAAGAAGGCAAACACACCAACTCAAACGCCGCCTGCAGCACGCCCAAACCCTAAACCCTAAACCCTAAACCCTAAACCCTAAACCCTGAACGCCGAGGCGAGAGGAAGGCAAACGCACCAACTAAACGCTGCCTGCAGCACGCCCAAAACCTAAACCCTAAACCCTAAACCCTAACCGTAAACCCTAATTAGAAGCGTAAGGACTATCTGTAGTTGGCCCTTAAGAAGCAGCAAGGCGTAGCTAGCGGCCCCAACCCTTGATATTAAGCCCTGGACCCTCAGCCCTAAACCCCAAACCCTAAACCCTAGAGCTTAAAACCTAAACCCTAAACAGAAAAATCCAGACTCAACACAGCAGGGAGAACTTGTAAATAACTGCACAGCTACGCACTTGAAAACCCACGAAACACTGAAGCACACGCAGGGAGCCAAACCCTAAACCCTAAACCCTAAACCCTAAACCCTAAACCCTAAACCCTAAACCTCCGGGCTTGCCTGCTGCCTAATGAGGGCGTCGGCGAGCACGAGGGAGTGCTGCAGCAGCACGTTTTCATCTGCTGCTCCATGCATCAGCAGCAGCCGCCCCTCAGCTTCTTTTCTTTTGGGGCTCACAAAAGGCAGCACTGAAGAATACAAATAGCCGCTAGGGTTTAGATAAGGCAAAGACAAGTAACGCTCAGTGTAGTGGGTCGAGTAGCCCTGCGCGCAGCAGCAGCAGCAGCAGCAGCAGCAGCAGCAGCCTGAGCAGCAGCAGCAGCCTGTGGGGCAGCAGCAGCCGCTGCAGGGGCAGCAGCAGCAGCAGTTTCGGCGTTTGCAGCTTAAAATGGAGGGGGTGCAGCAGGGTGCGGCAGAAGGGGCAGCAAAAGCAGCAGCAGCAACACAGGCAGCAGCAGCAGCACGGGCTGCAGCAGCAGCAACACAGGCAGCAGCAGCAGCACGGGCTGCAGCAGCAGCAGCAAAGACCCAAACGGAGGCGCAGGAGACCAATACATTAAAACCACCTTAGGAGACACAGCAGCAAAAAAGCAGCAAAAGAAAATGAAATAAATGATAAATGAAGTGAAGGGGCTTAGAAGAGACAAAATAAAAAGTAAAACAAAAGGACAAAAACGAAAAAGAAAGAAAAGAAATTAAAACGAGAATAAAAAAAAAGAAAAATAGAAAAAGAGACAAACAGAAACACCCACACTGAGCAGCCGCCCAACAGCAGAAGACGCACACCTGAACCCTGAACCCTAAACCCTAAACCCTAAACCCTAAATGGTGGTTTTACCTCCCAGAAGGTGACTGGGGCTACGCAGAAAGCCGCGGAAAACAACTCGGGGTATAATAAATGGGCCATGCAAGAAAGGAAGCCGCCGTAGCTGATTCCATATATGCCCACGCCGCTGGCCAGCTCGCCCTCGCTGCTGCTGCTGCTGCTGCTGCTGCTGCTGCTGCTGCTGCTGCTGCTGCTGCTGAGCTTGAGGAGGCCCTGCTGCTCGAGGTAGCGACATGCTGCTGCTTGGTCTGCTGCTTCCTTGTGGCCCAGCAGCAAACAAATGGACTTTTCAAAAGCTGTAGTGCGGCCGTCGCTGCCGCGGTTGTCAGTCTTTATCACCAGCAAGCCTGCCCACAAACCCTAAACCCTAAACCCTAAACCCTAAACCCTAAACCCTCAACCCTGAACGCTGGAGTGCTTCATGAAGCAAGAAGCTCCGGAGCCTCACAGCGAAGGCCAGGCTGAACAGACATCAAATTCATTCAAGCTTGAACACAAACCCTAAACCCTATACCGCAAGCACTTAACCCTAAACCCTAAACCCTGCAAGTCCTAAAGCCCTCAAAAGAGGATCAGGCTCTTCAATGAATAACACACAAAATGCGAAAGAAGAAAACCCCTGCTTTAGGGTTTAGGGTTTAGGGTTTGAGGCTTGCCGAGCCTGGCGGCAAGGGCGCGGCCGACGCCCCTGCGAGCGGCCCAGGGCCTGCACCCCAGAGCCTAGGACTTAGGTTTTAGGGTTTAGGGTTTAGGGTTTAGGGTTTAGGGTTTACCCAGCCTCGCTAGGGCCTGGGCCCTGGGGTCTGTGTGCAGCTCCCACGAGTTGGTGACGAACTGCATCAGAGGGCCCCCGTAGCAAGACACCACCCCGCGGTAAGGTGCTGCAGAAGGAAAATAAATAAACAATAAATAAATAAATAAACAATAAATGAATAAATAAATAATAAATAAATAAAAATAAATAAACAATAATGGTTAATAAGTGGAGAAGGAGAGCGGGTTTCAAGGAGCGGATCGCAGGAATGGAGCGGGCTGCTGCTGGGTACGCTCTCGGCTTTAGGGTTTAGGAGCTAGGGTTTAGGGTTTAGGGTTTAGGGTTTAGGGTTTACGCGGCCCGTGCACGCTGGGGTCAGGCTTGTAGCAGGCCCCCAGCAGGCGGTGCTGCTGCTGCGGGAAAGAAAAGAAAGAAGGCAGCAGCAGCTCCGACAAGACCCGAGCAAACACTGTTTGCTGGTGTTGGCTTTCGAAAACCACCT